ATATTACTCACCGCGAGACAACTCCCATGAGCAGACTACTCGCCCGAAATTCACTATATAATCGCAAGCTCAAGTTAGCACGATTACAACCCTAGAAGCACTTAGAGATATTATGAGAATCTATATAGCCTGGCCAGCTTGATTACTCAAATTTATCAACTTGTTTTCGATGGGTCATTCATTAAAACGTGGCCACGGTCCAAACATACTTCAGACCCACGAGGTCTAACAAGGGGCACGACCCCCATAAAAAAATTTTGAGAGTCTGATCCCCTCCTCAAGTACATCACGCACAAGGCTATATGTAAACACATATAAGCAACGCGTCAAAACATTGACAATGTCAAAAAATAACAACTCCCACGAGGAGAATACTAGCTCCGTGCTACTACATTATCGTGAGACAACTTCCACGAGGACATAACTCGATCAACTCTATTACCCCAGAGACAACTCCCACGAGGAGATTACTTGATCCGTGCTACTACATTATCGCGAGACAACTCCCACGAGGAGATAACTCGATCAACACTAGTACCCTGCGACGAGACAACTCCCACAAGGAGATAATTCGCTACTACATCGTCGCGGGACAAAACCGACGACTCAATTAACTTACATCGCGACAACTTGGTCGCGCTATGCGCCAACGCGCATTCACGCCCCTCCGACACACGCTCCAACGCGTTGCACACCATCGACTACTACAATTTTTACTCTCAACACGATATGTCACCCATTTCAACATGGCCCCCACATCGACTCGAGAGTGGGGGGCTTAATGATATGCCAAATTGGCCCAACCCAATGGGCCTACAAATTATTTACCTACTGGGCCACGAGCCCAATATCGAAGACCACTATCACCGAGGCCCAATCACCTTCAAGCAAGGTTTGGGCCCGACAATCTCAACTAAGCTATAAATAAAGGTTTGAACTCATTCCTTAAGGTACGTCCTATTAACTGAGCAATACTACAACTGTATTCTCTGGACTATTTTCTATGATCAGCACGTCTGACTTGAGCGTCGGAGGGGTTTCCGCCGGATCAACCCCCGACTTAGTTCATGTGTTCTATGATCGCAGGTATCTCAAGGTCATCAAGCTCGTGAGCCAGTGATCCACTCTGCTCTTCCAGCTCATCCTACTTCAACACTCTAAGGTGATCTAACTTTAGCATCATTTTTTTTCTCTTGTTTCCCAACCCCAAATCTCACAAAACATGTGAAGATTTCCTTTTTGCTTTCTCTCTAACTTCTTTCCTTTGTTTTTGAGTTTCCTCTCTTTCCAGCCTTTCAAGCCTTATCCTCTTGATGAGCCTTACTTTCCAGCCTTTCAATCCTCATCCCCTTGATTAGCCTTAGCCGCCAATCCTCTCCTCAAAGTGCTTTATATATGCAGTTAACCCTAGCATAAAACAACTTGGTCCCAAGCAAACCACTGTGAGCTCGACAGGTGTCTACCACAGTCAGTGGTCCTCACTTGTTTTGTCTTTTAGTGTAACAGTTTCTTACACTACTTTCTAGCTCATCCTCCAGCTTCACTTTAACTGATGCACCAGACAAAGTGTCCACTTGGCATGGACACGTGGTTATGAGTCATAGAATAACAATAACCATAAAAAACTCTAAAATATAAAACATAATAAATCCTAAAATAAAAACGTGCATAACGGAATTAAATAACTTGATCTTCAAGTCGACTTCCAGATCACGCTTCTAAACTCCCGTAGACATTGGGTTGTGCATGTGCAGGCACTTCAAGATCGATTAAGACACTATTTTTATTTAAATCTCTTTCCGCTCAAAACATGAAATTTGTAGAACTTTCAGTTGTCTTTCCTCAGCAATTTAAATCACCTTAATATGACGTCATGTGAGAGAGTTTTAACTGGAATCGTAGAATTGCCATAGATAGGCAAAAATCTCGAATGCATGAATTCGACTTGTCCAACGAATTCTTCGCTTTCTTTTTCAATTCCACATCATGGACTTTTGAAAGGTCTGATTCAAGACTTTATTCTTCAAGGCCAAATTGAATAACTTCTTTGAACTCGTAAGCTTTCACTTCTTCCAATTCTTCATCTTGGAGTTTGTCAGGATCGTATCATAATCCTCTTTAAAAGTATTCGTCATCGAATCCGGACAAATATCAAAATGAGTATATATAAATCATTGTTCATGACCAGCCATTGTGATTGGTGGAAAATTCATTGTTAGCCCTCCGAAGAAGATGTCATCACATCCCTCATTAGTAGAACCGCCTTCATTCTTATAGCACCAATAATGCATAATACTCTTTCTTTGCATTATGTCACCATGTTCTTCGGCTTGCATTGAAAGAGTTTGCGATCCGATTAACTTGGCACTAGCCTCAATGCATGGCTGGATCATATCACCTAGGTTTGTATTGAACGAGACTGGGTTTTTTCAACGGTGGACATGGATGGCATGAAATCAGGTTTGGGCTCTTTACATGAATCTGTAACAAAGACCCCCTGAACTACAAAACGTACCAAATTGGGCCTTCCGTTTATAATCCGTTTGTGGTGTGCTGATGTGGCAAATTGACTTTCTCCAATAAAAGTATTTTGACATTTTTCCCCTTAGTTTGCTATATTTATATTATACATGAATAAATATATATACGTTTACATTGAGTTAATAACATAATATACATAAACATATTATAGTTAATAAATAAACAATTAAAATATGAACGGACGAATTGAGTGCCATCCTCATCACAATAGATTTTCTCAGCCATTTGCCCCACCTGAAATAAAATGTCGTCTGCTACATAAGAAATAAGCCATGACTCATTGTTGTTCCATGAAAAGTCAGGAACATTTGCTTTGTGACCATCGTTAGCTTCCATTAAAGTAAATCAAAAATTGAATACAGATACAATTTTAAGGACAAAAGGGTAAATTCATTCATATACTAACGGTGTTGCTTTGTTAACGGTTGACTGAAAATGGTAAGGGCCAATTTGGTACCTTTTGTAGTTCAGGGGGTCTTTGTTACATACCCTATAGTTCAGGGGTGCAAATTGTACTTTCCCCTAATTAGAATATTCACAAAAAAACTTCACTATTTTTTATTAGAATTTTTACCACAAAATCCCACCATCCCACCTTAAGTGAACAATACCTTCGTCGGAGAAAGATACCCGAATGTCAAAAGGAGCAGGAGTTCATGTTCTTGGAGAAATAAACTAAGAGTGCTTATGCAGAAATAAATTTTAAATTTTTTTAGAGATTTTTTACATTGTTGTTTTCGGTAAAATAAAATTTTAAAAACCGGTTACATTTTATTCAATACAATCTGTCCGGAAACTGATTGACATTGGACAATTATTAGAATCTTATTTTACCCTTTTAGGCATTAAAAAGAAAAAAAACTTAGAACATATGAAGATTAAGCGAATATAAGGGAAATTGATGGATTACAATTTTGATGTATTTAAGATATTTTATATAAATTTGGTGGTGAATTGAAATAATTTGGAGAATTAAACATAAATTATTGGGTAAATTCCACTTTCCCTCCTTTATTTTGGCTCGATATCACTTTACCCCATTCTACTCTCGATTGATTTGCTCCCCTGCACTTGAAAATTTGTCTCAATGTGACCCTCATTGTAAGTTGTCAGACATTTAACCTTAACACCGCAAAAACGCCACATCTCCCAGTTTAAATAATTATCAAAAAAAACAGAAAAATATACAAAAAAAAGACAATAAAAAGTTCAAGACAACGAGAAAAGATAGTCCACAATGTCAACCACAATTAATGTTCTTTTTACTAATTATTTAAACTGAAATATGTGTTTTTTTTGTAATTTTCAGACTTAGATCAAATGGTGTTAATGTCAAATGTTTGAGAACTAACGGTGAGGGCCACATTGAGACAATTTTTCAAGTATATGGGGCAAATCGATGCAATCGAGAGTAGAAGGGGTAAAGTGATATCGAGCCAAATTACAGGGGGGAAAAGTTTAATTTACTCTAAATTATTTCTATCACATAACTCATAAAAAAACGAGGTTCTTATACTGAATAGGGCTAAATACAGTTTGCACCCTTAAACTATAGGGGTGGTAACACTTACCCCCTTAAAGTTACAAATGTAACACTTACCCCCCTCATTAATGAATTTAAAGGTATAACTTTGACTTTGAATGATGTGGCATTCTTTCTTCCCAAATTGTCCTTCTAGCCATTAAATAAATAAAAATAATGAATATGTAATAATAAAAATTTCGACAACTTTGCCAAAACTTAATTTTATTATTTCAATATTGTAAATTTATGAATGAAAAAAATTGAATTTTAGTGTATTTTTGTTTTATCTTGTGTTCATTTGTAGCTAATAAAAAGTTAAGGATTATTCGAATTTTAATTATGATTTTATAGTTTATATAGTTTTTTTAATGCGTATATGACTCTAATATAATCATCCCACTTTTTACCTTGCGAATCACAAAATGTATTCAAAAGTTAATAAGAAATTATAATTTAAACGTCTAAATATTTAAATATTATTTTATTAAAATTTATATTTAATTAACTAAAATAAATTTTCAAATCAATAATTATCATAAAAAAAATTGGCCATTTAAGCCTTGAAAATATTTTTTTTTCTTGCAAATGTTTAACGTATTTAATATATTTTTAAAATATTGAGATTTTTATTTATATTAGGGTCTATAGTAACTAAAATGTGGAGTTAAACATAAATCAAAATATTTTTTTAATAATTATTATATTTTATAAAATTTAGTTTTTGAAATATTATTGAAAATATTTTATTATATATGCATCAATATAATAGCTAGAAGGACAATTTGGGAAGAAAAAATGCCACATCATTCAAAGTCAAAGTTTTATCATTAAATTCATTAATGAGGGGGGTAAGTGTTACATTTGTAACTTTAAGGGGGTAAGTGTTACCACCCCTATAGTTTAAGGGTGCAAACTGTATTTAGCCCTACTGAATATTTTCGAAGTTATTACGAGAACGACAGTCCGTGAGTTTGGACCAGCCATAATTATCGTCCCTGTCGGGAAGGGCCAATTCAAAGTCACCATCGCTGTAACCACCATGGTAGCTGCGAATTTAAATGTAAGAAGAGTGCAGAAAGCTGGACTCTCAGTACACCATGGAAAAAACTATGCTCACCTTTCTTCTCGTTTTATCATCTTTGCTGACAATCAACCCATTTTCCGACGCAGTTGATGTAATAAATTCAACTCACTTTATTACAGATGGCCAGACGTTGATTTCATCCGGCGGGACCTTCGAGTTGGGATTTTTCAGCCCAGGTAGTTCCAAGAATCGATACGTCGGCATATGGTTCAAGAACATTACAGCATTCACTGTAGTCTGGGTTGCCAATCGAAATAATCCCCTCACAAACTCATCAGGCGCCGCATTAAAGATCACCGAGCCAGGAATTTTAGCTCTTGTCAATGGCAGCAATTCAATAATATGGTCTTCCAACACATCACGAGTTGCCCGCAACCTGTTCGCTAAATTGCTCGACTCAGGAAATCTCGTAGTTAAAGAAGGAAATGATGATAATGATAATGATGATAACTACCTTTGGCAGAGCTTTGATTATCCCACCAACACAATTTTACCGGGCATGAGGTTTGGTAAAAACTTTCTAACAGGACACGAAAATTACATGTCGGCATGGAAAACGAGTGAAGATCCGGCAATTGGGGATTACACGTGCCGCTTGGATCCAACTGGATATCCTCAAGCAGTTCTTCGAAGGGGTTCGGTTAAAGTGTTCAGCACAGGACCTTGGAATGGATTAAGGTATAGTGGCCTGCCTGGAATGAAAACAGCTCCTGGATTTGCGTTCGATTTTGTTCTGGATAAAAACGAGGTTTATTACAGTTATAGGATCCCCGATAATTCGGTGATTCCTAGGTTAGTACTGAACGAGACTGGCTTTCTTCAACGGTGGACATGGATGGCAAGAAATCAGGTTTGGGCTCTTTACATGAATCTGCCGACGGATAATTGTGATTCTTATAAGCAGTGCGGTATGTATGGAAGTTGCAATGTTCAAAACAATCCGATTTGTGGGTGTTTGAGAAACTTTGTTCCAAGAAATTCAGAGGAGTGGATGTCTACGGATTGGTCGAATGGTTGTGTGAGAAAGGTTGCCTTAGATTGTGGAACCGATGGATTTGTGAAGTATTCTGGAATTAAATTGCCGGATACGGAGTTCTCGTGGTTTAATGCGAGTATGAATCTGCAAGAATGCGAATTATTGTGCCGGAAAAATTGTTCTTGCGTGGCTTACACAAATTCGGATATTAGAAATGGTGGGAGTGGATGTCTGGCTTGGTTTCGTGACCTCGTTGACATCAAAGAGTTGTATGGAGAAGGACAAGATATTTACATCAGAATGGCTGCTTCGGAACTGGGTAAGTACTTTGCACATGTTGTTGTCGTCTTGATTCAATACGATGAATTTGTATACGTTTTTTCGTGTTTGAAATATGATGTTGCAGATTCGAGAAGAGAGGACCATAAAATATTAATAGTGATTTTGACCTCATCACTTGGAGTGATTCTTCTATCCATGAGCTTCGAACTGTGGATTTGCATGAGAAATAAAAAATATTTGAAGTTGAAGAGCAGATCAGGTAGATTAAAATGTGCCGTTTTGTGCGATTACTAATATTGCAAAATGCAAAATGAGAAAAAGAAAAAAAAACGTAGAATAATGATATCGGTACTTGTATGAATTAAGTTGCAGGAAGGAGTGAAGAGAGTGATGGTAAAGATCTGGAACTTCCGTTGTTCGACTTATCGACTATATCAAAAGCTACTCGTAATTTTTCAATAGACAACAAGCTCGGAGAGGGTGGTTTTGGACCTGTCTACAAGGTACAATTACACTCATGCCGATATATATCTAACGAGAAATGTACACACACCAAAAACATATAATTTTTACAATTTATTTTTTGTTTTTTTGCATGTGCACATGATCTGGTTGATTTTAGGGTACATTGGGAGGTGGACAAGAAATTGCAGTGAAAAGATTATCGAAAGCATCATTGCAAGGAATACAAGAGTTCAAGAATGAAGTTATCTTTATCGCTAAACTTCAGCACCGAAATCTTGTGAAGATTTTAGGATGCTGCGTTGAAGGAGAGGAAACCATGTTAGTTTACGAGTACATGCCCAATAAAAGCCTCGACTTTATCTTATTCGGTGAGCAATTTCTTACTACTGTGCTTCGTAAATTATTCGGTGAGATTTTCTTACTATTGTGCTTTATATATTCGGCACTCATCAAAGTATCCATTGTCACAATCTAGTATTTCTTGGTTTTGGAATCAATTTGACAAATCATATAAAGAGACTGTTGGAGAAATCAAACTTGTTCAAAATAACGATTGTTTCATATTCGAGCATATGTATCAAAAAAATGTAATTAATATGTATTGATTAAACATTTATATATATATGTGTATAAGAACTAAATTATCTTTCCAACCAATTCTCGTTTTATAAATTTCTTGATAAAATTTGAGGAGTAATAAGGGCAAATATGGAAAAAAATAATTAGTGCAACATTGGTATTCTAAAGATTATACCGGATGTGAAAATTCTCTAAATTACAGTTATTTTTTTAACGGGATGTGCTTTTCTTTGTTATTCTACCAAATCGTTCTTCGATCATTTATTTAAATTTAAATTTGGAATACTAACAACATGTCTTCTGGCAAAAATGCATTTGGTTTGTGCTTCTATTTCTTGGTTTTGGAATCTATTTTACTACTAATACTCTTAATAAATAGATAATAACAGGGTAAAATTTTGACAGATCATTTAAAGAGTAAGCTACTCGATTGGCCCAAACGGTTTCAAATCATTTGCGGTATTGCAAGGGGACTCGTTTATCTTCATCAAGATTCTCGACTTAGAATTATCCACCGAGACCTCAAAGCTAGCAATATATTACTAGATACGGATATGAACCCAAAAATATCGGACTTCGGTTTGGCTCGAAGTTTTGGAGGGAATGAGATTGAAGCTAACACAAGCAGAGTTGTCGGGACATAGTAAGATTCTAGATTCCATAAATGCAACCGATTTATTTTCCATTATTATATTAAATAATGCAAAAAATGTTTTTTCAGCGGCTATATGTCACCAGAATACGCATTCGATGGTTTATTCTCGGTAAAATCGGATGTGTATAGCTTTGGTGTGATAGTGATGGAAATTCTGAGTGGGAAAAGAATCAAAGGATATTCCTTCATGGATCATCAAAACCTTCTTGGACATGTGAGTTTTATAATGTGAATATTGGCAAAAATAAATAAAATTAATTAATACGAATATTGCTGATGTTTATTATTTCTTGCAGGCATGGGTATTGTACAAAGAAGGGAAGTCACTGGAACTAGTTGATGATAACATATTCGAACCGAGTTACGTGTCTGAGATGCTGAGAATATTCCATGTGGGACTTTTGTGTGTGCAATATAATCCAGAAGATCGGCCGAATATGTCTTCAGTTGTGTTCATGCTGGAGAATGAAACTGAGTTGACTCGGCCTAAGCAACCGGGTTTTTTCGTTCATAGAGATGTTTTGCCTTCCGATACTTCTTCGAGCAGCGCATACGCAAGTTCGGCGAATGAAATCACCATTACAATGCCTAAAGGTAGGTAGGTAGGTATAGATAGAAAGCCATGAAAAAAGTTTATATATAATATTTATAGGGATAATTACATTTTTCGTCCTTATACTTTACCACTTATTCGTTTTTCGTCCCTAAACAAGTTGGAGTGACATTATTCGTCCCTAAACATGCCATTTTTTAGCAGTTTCCGTCCTGCCGTTAATTCTTGCTGTTACATTGGATGGAAATCTGACGTGAACCTGAAAATTATAATATATGGTGCTGACATGGACGATTAATCCACGTGGCCACTCACATGTATGTTGCTGTTGATATGCTTCGTGAAACCAACTCATATTAACTCAAATTACCCATGCATTGGTACCAAACAAGACTCCTCTTTAAACTTTGCTAGAGAGAACGAGCCACCATGCACATTCCATTTCAACTTTGCAAACGAGCCACCACCATGCAAGAGACCCATTCCCACCTAATTAAGAGGAAATTCGCAGAATTGAATGTGAACGATACAATTATTGTATGAATAATATTTATTTTGACTTTGCATGAAATTTCCATATTTGAACTCAAAACATACAGTGAAATAACCTTTTGCAATTTGTATGCATACACACACTTTAGAATTAATGAATATAAAAGACACGCAACTACATCTAATATTTTGTTTCTATTCAATATTATTATAGACACGATTGAAGATTGCATCAATAAAAAACAAGTTAAAATAATATAGGATTAATATCCCCTACACCGGCCATGACAATTTTTTTTGTTTAAATGAGTAGTTAACGTCAATTGAGTTTTCGTCCAATATGGAGATAATGACTAATAAGGTTAGGCAATCTAAATTAAAGTTTACAAAATTGCAAATCGTGCAAATTCTCAATATGTAACAAAACAAACAATTCTTGTTGAGTAGCTTAACATATTATAAATTTCATTCAAAAAATCCAAATATATTAATTAACATCTTCTCTTCGAAGAAAAACATCATTCAAAATATAAATTGCCTTGCTTCAGATTTTTGTATGATGGAAAAAATTGTCTTTTGGGGATTATTGAGGCTATTTACGAGTCCAAAGAGGTGTGATATTGAAGAAATTAGCCATTTGGAAAAGAAAACTTATGTTCTAAAGAAGATGCAATCTGAAATTGAAGAGATGGGCTGACTCTTACGTATCATGTGCGAAGCACATGTTATTTTCCGTCCAAACTAACCAGTCAAATTGACGGAGGGACGAAAATAGCAGAAAAATGGCATGTTTAGGGATGAATAATGTCACCCCAACTTGTTTAAGGACGAAAAACGAATAAGTGGTAAAGTATAGGGACGAAAAGTGTAATGTGTGTGATTGGCATAAAAAAAAAATTCTTGGGAAATTGATTGTGTAATTAATTAGATGAGTAAATAAAGAATATTTATGCTTAATATTTTTAATTGTTTATAAAATCTAGAAGTAATTTGTTTCTTCATACCTTAAAAATAAATTTAAAAATGAAATTGAACAGCTATCATAATGATGTAACGAGCTCGACCTCATCGAGCTTTATTTTAGCTTAAACTCGAGTTCGAGTCGTTATTCATTTTCCTCTTAACTCGTTAATCTTTATTCATTATTATTGAGTGGTTGATTTTGGTGTTAGGTGTTCATTGGTTGAATAGGTTGGGGACAGTGGCTTGTAACTGGAAACAATATTTGAAAATGGAATTAATGTGGAACAGAAAATTTAAATTTATTTTAATTCAATTCAACATATGACAGTAAAAGCTATCTGCTCCAAGCTCCAAAAGGCGAAATCCCTCGCCCCAAGGGCCCCCATCCCTCGGCCCGACAAGGATTGATGGAGGAATGTAAATCATGGTTACTCAACGGCCCGTTAAGATAGCGGACCCGGACCTGGTGCCCACAAGGAACCAATCTCATTGGAGTTGAAATTCCCACACTGCGGCTGCCAGGATTCGATCCTAGGACCTTGCTCCAACTTACCACCTCCGGAACCAGTTGAACTTACAGTAAAAGCTATCTGTAATTAGGATTTAGGACAGAACAAAAGTCGAGGACCGGGTCGTTGGTTGTACCACCGGCCGGCCGCTGGATAAATAAATCACCTGTCCTGTCAACTTTAAGAACAGGGCCCGGCCCGATAAGTCGAGACTACTTAAAAATAAGTTAAGATATATGTACATATTCGAATTGATCTTCGTAAGGGTAAAGGTACACCTATAACATAAATATTCAATGGGAAAGTTATAGTTTTCAATCCTTCAAGTTCGCATTGATTCCAGAGTTGGTCCCTATGTTCACTAAAAACACATTTGGTCCATCATGTTTCAATAATTTAACATTTTCGGTCATTTTTGTTAATTTACCGTTAGTCCGTGACAGTGATTGACACACGCTTGAGTCCGTTAGTAGTAACGGAAAATTGATGGAAATGACTAAAAACGTAAAGATGATGAATTTCTTAAACATGAGGGACCAAATGTGTTTTTTGGTGAACATGAGGAACCAAATATGAAATCGATACAAACTTGAGGGACGTAAACTGTATTTTTTCCAATATTTAATGTTTTAAGTTTTAACTATGGATGGAATTTTAATTTCATGCTAAAACGATTTAACAAAAGGGGATGTATATGCAAAATTTATTCATTTAAAACTCGGATTGTTTTACTTATAAACTAAGTTGAATAAGATTATTCAGTTGCCATATGGAAAATAAAATAGTAATAGTACGGGCGAAATTCCGAACAAATTTTCGGTTTTGTCGCTTTCAATTTGAAATTTTAAATATTATGAACTTTGTTCACTTTGGAACATGAATCAAGAGTAAAATTTGGCCAAATATGAGGGACAAAAGTATAACTATCCCGGACAAGAACTTGTTCTTGTTTCAGGCAATTTTGGTGGCCATGACTAGTAGGTAGGGTACATTAATCTCATTAAATATACTCATTCGGTTCCTAATTAATTGTCAATGTTCAGCTTTGCGGTAGTATTAAAAAGGGATTATTAGTGAAAACCCCACAACACATTTAGTTATATTAGGATGGATATAAGATCATTTTGCATATTAGTGAAAACCCCCTCATTATATATTTTAATTTACCATAAATTCGAAATTTAGGAATATCTCTATATTACCCTTAATTATCATTAAAACTCTATTTTCCCCTCACTTTTCTTCACCAGCCGCATCTCTCTCTTTCTCTCTCCCTCGCCACAGATCTGCACCTCCCACGCAGTCTCTCCCCCACCCCCGCCTCACGATCTTCTATATTTTTTTCCATCCCTCTTCTTCTCTCCCAATAGCATTTTTATGTGCGAATCCCATGGTCAAGAGCAATTATGAAGCAGATGACGAAGCTTCTTCTCCAATTCATTTCTCCGCCGTTTTTTGGGAACAACTTCCAGCGTCACATGACTCCGATCCGACATCGACGACCTCTTAGCCTTCATGACGGTGTAACACCGGTGACGACGAGATCCGGATCGAAGCAAACGAGATTGTTTAGGTTTGTCTGTCAAATTCCTTCATTATTTAATCATTTTTATTTTGCAACTGATTGATTTTTTAGATTAATTGTTATGATGTTGTTGTCTTGATTCAATTGTCAAAAATTACAGTATGATTCGATTCCTATCATGTCTTATTTGTTGAATAATTTTGTGATTTGAGTCTTGCGTTTGTTTAAATAGAATATCAGCAATTTGTTGATGTTATACATATTTTGGATATTATTGTGTATTCTGATTTGAATTTTTATTGCTTTTTTTTTTTGTTTGTCTTTATGTATGAAATAGTTGCGGACATTGGGATTATTTTATGCATAGCACATTCGATATCTACGAAGATCTGTGGAAGAAAACTCATATGATCGGAGTTGTATCTTGGTCCTATCTCTGGAAGAAAACTCCTATCTCAGCCATGGCAAAGTAGAAGAAATGAATTTATAGAAGTTTTCTCTAAAATTGGAGTTGTTTATTTTGTAGTCGATTTTGTAAATTTGTAGTTGTTTTCGATTTTTGTAGTTGTTTTTGACAATTTGTAGTTGTTTTTGATAATTTTTAGTTGATTTCATTAAACAACTAGATTTTATTGTTGTTTTCGATATTTTATAGGTGATTTCAATTTTTTTATAGTTGATTTCTTTAATTTTTAGTTGATCTTATTTGGTAAACTTGCCATTGAAAACAACTATTTTTTGTGGTTGTTTTAGAGTTTTCTTAAAGTTGATTCGGAAAAAAAAACGAGAAAAAAAAAATAGTTGTTTTCGGTAAATTTATAGTTGATTATGAACAAAATAGTCAAAAATAAAAACAAAATTTTAGTTGTTTAAGAAATATTGTAGTTGTTTTCGAAAATTTTATAGTTGTTTTCGGAAATTTTATAGTTGTTTTCGAAAATATTATAATTGATTTGCAAACCCAACAGCAGGAAAAAAAAAAAGATTAATTTTTTTTGAAGTAAATAATATTTTTTAAATAAAAATATTTTTTTTAAAAATAAATAAAAAAATAAACGAAAATTATAATTAAAAAAATTAAGAAGTCATTAAAATAATGATAGTGAATAGTAGGAGGGTAAATTTGGAATAAGAGAAAAACTGGACCTATCACTAATAAGGAAAAATGGGCTGTATCCATCCTTATTAAAAAAATGCTATAGGGGGTTTCGCTAATTGTCCCTATTAAAAATGTCAATAAATGTGTTTTGGTTTTGGAAAAAATACATAAGAATGATTAAAATAACATCGATCATTTAATGATGTTATAAACCCTCAACTAGCCTTGTTTTCGCACGGTC